GTTAAATTTCGAAACTAGATTGTATCGATTTACTTATGAATTCATAGGATCCTAGTAACTGCCTCCGAGTCCTTAGAAGTCCTAACACACTACAACAACCTTCTAGCTACCTTGTATAAGGTAGAGCTCATGGGCTTACCTCAAAGGTATCATGCACTGGTCCTCCACCTAATGATTGTGTCATGATTTACTCATTCACTATTCAATCAAGTTAGGGTATTGAGGCTCTGATATGAGTGGGTGAGCGCGAAGAAATTTCACCTTTTGTATGCAAGATTTTTCATTGAATAAATAAAAAATTAAATGACCTACGAATTAAATTGATTTTAAAATCTTAAATTCTGAGACAAGTTTAACAAAATCTTTGTTACGTTCTTACGAAATGATAATAATAATCTAAGAAATACACACAATTACATTAAGCAATGATCAATATTCTTGCCCACAATATATAACACCATCAAAACTTTTAAACAACAATGACCGATTGTTAAAGCATAATATATATATATATATATATATATATATATATATATATATATATAACAATTATAATGAATCTCCTATATTACATTGTATTCATATACTATAAGTTATATATTTAAATAAACAAATTCGACATTAAATTACTTATGTATAAATTTCTCATATATAATCTTGCATTGATATACTTTCAAATATTTATTTAAATATAAATATTATTGGACATTAACTCATTCGCGCAATGCCCGTGTAAAACTAATATAACCAATAAATGTGTAATCATATCCAACCATCAACGTAAGATTTAAGTTGAGGTGCAATACATCGCTTAATAATTTAGTATAAGCCTCGGAGCCATGCAAAATGACACACATGAAATACAAAAGAGTTAATTACATTTTTGGTCCTAAATTTATAGGTAACAGTTCACTTTTAGTTTTTTTTTTTTTTTTTTTTTTTTTTTCAGAATATTTAGTTTTGGTCCTAATATTATTGTGACATATGACCATTTTTGGTCTTCTATCAACAAAATAGTTTAAATTTTGTTAAATTCAATGGCATTTCAGTCTTCAATTATGGATTTTTTTAAAAAAAATAAAAAATAAAAATAAACATAAACATAAATAATATAGCGGGCAACCTGTTTTGTATATAAAAAAAAAAAAAAAAAAAGATCGAAATGTCATTGTATTTAACGGCATTTCAACGATTTGTTGATGGAGGATCGAAAATGGTCATGGCACAATAATACTAGGACCAAATAAGGATGTTACATTAAAAAAGGACTAAACGTGGACTGACACCTATAAATCTAGTGTTAGATATACAATAGTCTAACTATATGAACCATAGTATACGAGAAACCTAACCTCGTATGATAGCGGAAGCGTAGCCGTGTTGATCTCCAGCCATAGTTGATGTTCCTGTTGTGTTGCCTCTTAACGGTAGACCGTCAGCCATGTTTTGACTCAGACCTGACTCAGAACCCTAGATGGCGTATTGGTATCTACTGAGCGGTCTGAGTACCATAACTGAATGTGCTATCTAATCCATAATCCTGTATCCCATCAATCCAGGTTATATTAGGCACAGAGTTTGGTTGACTAACAACTACTAGTTATTAAGTCCAACCAGACCACTTAATAAGCCTAGTCAACTTGCACCACTTAATTAAGGCCCTAATATATAATATATAATATATATTATAAGGGAAAATCTTACATCTAGGACCAAATATGGAATTAACTCAATACAAAACATTAACGGGGGCTAGGGATGACAATGGGGCGGCGTGGGTGTGGGGGATATATCCCCCGCCCCCACACCCGCATTCCCAATCCATTCCCCGCACGGGCCTGCACCCGCACCCGTACGGGTAATGAAATTCCTACCCCATACCTGTCAATAATGTTATTATTAGTCTTTATAATAATGTTATTATTTGTATGGTTCTAGTTAAGTGGTTTAGTCAAGCCTAATAGTTAGGAGAGGTTTACGATGTTTACACCTCTTTTAATATTGTAATTGTTATCTAATTAATGAGATTTTGAATTACTCTTCCAATCTGGTATCAGTTAGCCTTACGTTCGATTCTCATGTTTTCTCTCCCCTCACCCCAAAATGTCGACGAACTCGTCGGAAAGAACAATCACCACCTCCGTCCCGGCTCCGGCCACCACATCAAATCCTCTCTCCTCGGCACATTACTTTGTGTCAATTAAACTAACATCCCGGAATTTTTTATTCTGGCGCACACAATTGGTTCCGTTCTTACGGGGCCAAGAACTGCTCGGGTTTGTCACCGGTGAAACCCCATGCCCGTCGCCGACAGTCGCCAGTGTTCCGGCCGAATCTTCCACCTCCGATGTTGCCAATTCCGTTCGTGTGCCCAATCCTGAGTACAAAACGTGGGTGCGGCAAGACGCGTCTATTCTGTCGCTCTTGGTTTCATCCATGGCCGACGAAGTATTACACATTGCTGTTGGCCGCAATACGTCGAAGGAAGTATGAGACTCAATCACCACCGCATTGGGATCCAGTTCGAGAGCTCGCTGTTTGGATCTGCTTGGGCAGTTTCAATCTTTTCGGCAAGGCAACCTCTCTCCGACAGACTACATCGGCCAAGCCCAGCTTATTGTGGAGGCTCTCTCACTCGCCGGTCGTCCGCTATCATTGGACGAACAAAACCTCTGGGTTTTCCGAGGTCTCCGGCCGGAATTCAGGAGCATGGCGTCTTCCCTCACGGTCTCCGGTAATCCGGTTACGTTACCCCAACTCGCTGACTTCTTGCAGGCGCAAGAGTTCATCGCGGCAGATGACCTTTCTCCCGGTCTCACTGCCGGCGGATCTCCTGCGGCACTCTATGTTGCGCAGGGCAGTAATCAGTCAGGGGGTGGCGCTGGAGGACGTCGCGGTAACTCCGGTGGTGGACGCGGCAATCGTGGCAGTCGGGGAGGCCAGTGGCGTGGTGGACGTGGAGGACGTGGTGGTGGCGGACAGGTGAGATGCCAAATCTACAGAGCTTACGGGCATTCTGCTCTTAATTGTAACAAACGTTACAATTCACAGCCTGCGCCCCAGGCAAATCTGACAGTGGCTGGTGATGATGTGGCACCGTCCACTAGTTCGTGGTTCCCGAACACCGGGGCTTCCGCTCACCCCACACCGGATGCGTCAATGCTATCACAATCGTCGGAATACAATGGCGGGGATGTGCTACGAGTCGGTAATGGCACAGGTTTACATATTTCACATATTGGGTCCACGTCTATTCCTTCTATGTCCAAACCATTAAAATTGTCAAATGTGTTACATGTACCTAATCTGTCCGTTCCGTTATTGTCAGTTCAAAGATTTACTAACGAAAATGATGTTTTCTTTGAATTTCATAAACACTGTTTCATTGTGAAGGATTCGATCACACAGGCGGTTCTACTTAAAGGACCTACCTCGGGTGGACTCTATAAGCTCCCACTGTCACAATCTCACTTCGCATTCCTTAGTTCCCGGGCCGCTCCAGTGATTTGGCATCGTCGGTTGGGCCATCCTCACAGCTAAGTCCTTAATAAAGTGTTGCAAGCCTGTCCAGTCATTCGCAATAAAACCGAGTCATTGGGGTCGTGCACTGCTTGTCATATGGGAAAGGCGTCACGGTTTCCTTTAAATAGAGTAGAAAATTCTAGTCAAAATGTACTCGATTTATTATATACGGACATTTGGGGTCCGGCTCCAGTTTTTTCGAGTAGTGGTTTTAAATATTTCGTACTCTTTGTAGATGATTGTACTCGGTTTTGCTGATTTTATCCCTTACGGGTGAAATCAGATATTTATAAAGTGTTTGAGTCGTTTCGAGTCATGGTAGAACGCCAATTCACGCGTTCTATCAAATCTATTCAGTCCGACTTGGGGGGGGGGTGGGGAAATATCACAAACTACACAAAACTTTCCAATCTCTCGGCATCAATCACAGACAATCATGTGCTTACACACATGAGCAGAATGGCCGAGTTGAGCGCCGGAACAGACATGTTGTCGAAACCGGGTTAGCTTTACTTGCCGAAGGTTCAGTCCCTATGCAATACTGGGACTATGCCTTCGAAACAGCCACAAATCTCATAAATTATCTACCCTCATCAGCCTTAAACTTTGAAAGTCCTTATTACCGATTACACAAAGTGTCACCACCATACACGTTTCTAAGAGTATTTGGGTGTCGGTGTTACCCGTACCTTCGTCCCTATAACAAACACAAAATCGAGTACCGCTCAACTCCATGTGTCTTCCTAGGTTACCCACCCTCCTATAGAGGGTATAGATGCTTGGACTTAATGAGTGGAAAAATGTATATCTGTCGTCATGTCCGATTTGACGAGTCTAACTTTCCTTTTTCAGACTCAACATTGCAGGATAAAACGGATTTGGCTGTACCACCAGCTCCGTGGGCTTCCGGGCCCATAATAACACAGTCATCACCGGAACTGCCCATAGCTGTTGCCCCACCTTCATCAGGGCCCAGGGCTCCTACACCGGATACAGCTCCTTTAGCTATTGAGGGTCCGTCCAGGACTGCCCCGGCTAAGACACGGAAACCTAAACGCCAACCGGCTCCAGTTCAAGAGCATGTGATGCGTCTGCGACACATGACTCGGGGCACAGGTGAACAGTTTCATGCGCTGACTACGACGACTGACCCAACGTGTTACTCTCAGGCCGTAGGACATCCTCAGTGGCGGGATGCTATGGACCAGGAGTTCAATGCTTTGCTGCATAATGGCACTTGGCGGCTTGTACCACCAAAGTCTGACATGAATATCATTGGGTGCAAATGGGTGTTCCGCACCAAACGCACAGCAGATGGCTCAGTAGAGCGCTACAAGGCTCGCCTGATTGCCAAGGGGTTCAACCAGGTAGCCGGTGAAGATTTTTTCGACACCTTCAGCCCTGTAGTCAAGCCTACCACGGTTCAACTACTCCTGTCTCTAGCGGTGTCCAACAGCTGGACTCTCCGCTAGCTAGATATGCATAATGCATTTCTAAATGGCCATCTAGATGAGACTGTGTACATGAAGCAGCCACCAGGGTATGAGGATTCCTCGCATCCCGACTATGTTTGTCACCTTCAGCGCTCACTTTACGGCCTCAAACAAGCCCCTAGAGCTTGGTTCAAGAGGCTACATGATTTTTTGATTTCTACAGGTTTTCTGCCGTCGAAAATTGATGTGTCACTCTTTCACTACACGGCCGGGGATTCACGGGTTTTCTTGCTTGTCTACGTAGACGACATCATTATGATGGGGAATGATACGTCATTACTGGACATGATGCTACGCCGTCTTTCCACCACTTTCAAAATTCGGGATCTCGGACCTCCGGGGTTCTTCTTGAGCATTGAAACTCTGGCTCTAGACGGTGGTTATCTTCTTTCACAGAAGCGATACATGGTTGATATCCTAAAACGAGCCGGTATGACAGACTGCAAGCCGCTCATGACCCCAGCTGCGGTCTCTCATGTTACCACTTCCGTGTCACAGCCGTTTGACAACCCAACTCAGTATCGGCGCATTGTTGGGGCCCTACAGTATCTCACTATCACACGTCCGGATCTGTCTTTTGCTGTGAACCGGCTTTGTCAGTATATGCATTCCCCTACGGATGATCACTGGGGTCTTGTGAAGCGGGTCCTGCGATATGTAAAGGGGACTCTTCACTATGGTTTACGTCTAACTCCTTTTGCTTCCTCGGCAATTCATGCCTTTTTCGACTCCGACTGGGCTAGCTGCCCACTCGACAGGAAGAGCACCAGCGGCTATGCAGTCTTCCACGGCAGTAACCTCATTTCCTGGCTCTCTCGGAAGCAGCGCACAGTGGCACGCTCATCAACTGAGGCGGAATACAAAGCCTTAGCAGATGTCTCGGCTGAGGTTACATGGGTTGTTTCTCTCCTTCGGGAGCTTGGGTTGCATTCTGGACAACCACCGACTCTGTGGTGTGACAACCTCGGTGCCACCTATTTATGTGCCAACCCAGTTTTTCACGCCAGGACCAAGCACGTTGAGATCGATTTCCATTTTGTACGCGACAAGGTTGCTTCTGGTGAGTTTGTTGTTAACTTTGTCTCCACCAAGGACCAGCTTGCAGACATCTTTACAAAACCACTTCCCAGACCACGGTTTACAGCTCTGCGCACCAAGCTCAATGTAGTTGCACACCCACCTTGAGCTTGAGGGGGTGTGTCAATAATGTTATTATTAGTCTTTATAATAATGTTATTATTTGTATGGTTCTAGTTAAGTGGTCTAGTCAAGCCTAATAGTTAGGAGAGGTTTACGATGTTTACACCTCTTTTAATATTGTAATTGTTATCTGATTAATGAGATTTTGAATTACTCTTCTAATCATACCTACCCCCTCGGAGATTTTGCGAGTGCGGGTAATACCCAACCCGTAACTCTAATTATTAATATTATACTTAAATAACTTAAATCTAATAAAAATTTTATACTACAATTCTAATTATCACATATATTTCTTTATAAGTTTGAGCATAACTCTAAAATTTAATAAGAGCCAATGAAGTTAATCCTTAATTGGAACGAAAATTGTGTTGGTAGTATAAATTGTATTAAGTGTTTACTCATTATGTTATTTGTGTTGTTCCTATTCAATTTTCATTAACAAAAAAACTAAGAAATTTAATTCATTATGCATTTTTAATTATAAAATATACGTAAACTTATATAATAAATGAATACTAATAACAATATATATAAGTGCGGGTGCGGGGTGGGGATACCTCCCCCGCACTCGCCCCCATACCCGCGTGAGTTTACAAAATTCTCTTCATACCCGCACTCATTACCCATATTGTGGGGGTATTTTAAAATCCGTAGGGGCGGGGATGCGAGGAACCCATTAGGTGCGGGTAGAATTGCATAAACAAATATTTGAACCATGATCTTAAATTTGTTATTTAATATTGCTTCCACTTAACCCCATTGAGAGAACATGGTCCTCCTGAGAACTAATCTCAACCATCCATCAGAATTCATCAATGATAGAGGGTTTTAGTAAAAAAAAAAAAAAAACAAAAAAAAAAAACAAAAAAACATACGAGATTAATTTTATAATTATTTAAAAATTTTAAGAGCTGAATTCATTTTATAATTATTGCAAACTTAAAAGTTGAGTAATGAAAAGATCCTAACATTTGATTTATCAAGATAGATGGTGTGGATGTGCCCACATTTTTTATAGGGAGAGGTATTATCACCTAATTTTGTTTAATGAAAAGAAACGACACCCGTTTTGCGCCGTTCCGCAAAACGTAACTATGTTATTCAGTTTCATTTTGTATACACTTCAGTTTCAGTTTAACACAACTACAGTTTCATTTCCATAAAACTACAGTTTCATTCGACATTTATACACTCAAATATGTGAAAATGTTATTTAATTTTATTTTATATACATTATAGTTTCATTAAAACACAACTACATGATCATTTCGATATAACTACAGTTTCATTGCACAATATACACACAAATATGTGAAATGTTATTCAGTTTCATTTTATATACACTGCAGTTTCATTTCACCACAACTACAGTATCATTTTGATATAACTGCAGTTTCATTTGAGAATATATAAAATAATACGTGAGGCAGTGTCGGTTTAGATATACTGTAGTGTCAGTTTATATATATTGTAGTTTCAGTTGGTAATTAACACATCAAAAAATGCATGCTCCATTAACAATAATGGCGCGCTGTTTCTTTACTTAAAGAAACGGCGCCGTTTTGATTGCGGTGCACATGCACCGCGGTCTACAATATAACGACGGATAAAATGATAGGTCGAACCAGCATGGAGTAAAACAATTGCTTTTGTAGTTATTAATTTGGGTCCTAGTACTCAATCAAGCCCTCAAATGATTCTCAATAATCTGATGTGAATTGAAATGGCCTCTTCCTAGATTGAAGTGGTCCTGCAAACTTCTAAGATCCACTTGCTTGGGAGACCGGCCGATGAGCTGAGATCAGTCCGGGTAGGTGGTGGGGGGTGGAGGGGTTATGTTTCAACCTTTTTTTCCTTGTAGCAGCCATTCTTTATTATTGCCTGGAAATGGACTAAAAAATCAAAACTTCAACATCCATTTCAAACACGTGACCTTTTTAAGATTCCACCAACATAATTGTATCCATAACTCTCGAACCCGTAATTTGGATCTGGTACCACTTATTAAAATCAAGCGCTTACCATTCATGTCAAAAGTTATATTTAGTAGTGAAGGCGCACTTATGTTCTTATTTATAGACCGTCATCATATTGTTCGAGAAAACTGAATGCTGGACTTGGCCCTTAGGAGCTTTACCGGCTTCAATCCAATAATTCTCGCGATTACCGGGTACTAAACATGGCCGACATTGCCCAACGAAAGATATTACAATGGTTTAATGGTTTATACCTCACCTTTATTATTTTTCTTGCTATAATGTCTTTGTTTTCTACATTTAGCTGAGGAGAGACTACTTGATCTAGTTTCAAATCCAACACCAAATCTAAAAGTGCTAGTAGTTAAATTTATAGGTCCTCAAAAAACATGGTGATAAAAATTAAAAGTAAAAAAAATACTATCAATAAAAGGAAAACTATTATTAACACTATTGCACTATATTATGTACTCTATATTTCATATTTAGATTTGATAAGAACATATTTGACAAGATAATTATAAAACTCAAAAAAATTAAATAAGTCAGCAATTGAATTGATCCAAACTATTGCTTTTGAGCCCTTTAAGATGACACAATCACACAAACATACCAGAGTCAATTTTTTATCTTACAATTATAGCAATAATTCACTTATTACTTATTAGTTTTTCTAAATTAGTAGATTTGGTGAAAGCTTATGGCCTCAAGATTTTGGTCATTTAGACAGTCTTCAGATGATTTTGATATTTTTTTCTTTTAACAAATATAAAGATAGAAATTTTATGATTTTTCTATAATGTCTATATCCACTGAATTTAGTTGAGGAGAGAATATTTGGTCTAGGTTCAAATATTACAAATTTAAAGTGCTTATAGTATAATTTATATATCATTAGAATTAGATGGTGCTAAAACAATCTAGAATTAAATGCATTAATTACCAAGTCCAAAAAGCAATCATAGTAATTTTATAAATCGTTAAAATCAGATTATGGAAAAAAATTAGGAATAAATTTTCTTCTATTTTAAAAAAACAAAAGTAAAAACTATAAAACGTAAATTGGGAAATAGACGCAATACATAAACATCAAATGAATTACAAATTTCTTATGTCCTTTTTTCCTATCTATTGCCATATCTGACGCAGCATGCCTATATTTCTTATAATTGATCAGCTCAAATCAATAACACGAAATGATAATTCTTATAGATAATTGAATTTGAAACATTATGGTTATCAAATCAACGTTTCAATCATCTTGACTGAATTAACTAAACCTTAATACTCGGTATATAATACTCACATAAGAGAATTGATTTTATTTTTATTATTATTATTTTTTTTTTGGTGCAAAGGAGGGACCGCAAGGTCCAAAAGTTTAGTAGACCTTTCTAGTGGCAACGTTCATGGAATCACGCTCGAGGTATCTTTTCACACCATCACGAGGATGAGCCAGGATCAAAGTACCCCAAGAATTGTCCTTCCACATATTCGCAAGGAAGTCAGCTCATTGATTATCCTCTCGAAAGATGTGATTAATCTCACATTCTTAAAAAAGAGTCATGAAGAAAATACATAGCGCATTCGTTCATGGAACCACGCTCGAGGTAGCTTTTTACACGAGGATGAGCCAGGATCGAAGTACTCCAAGGATTGTCCTTCCTCATATTCGCAAGGAAATTAACGCATTGATTACCCTCTCGAAAGACGAGATTAATCTCTTATTCCTAAAAAAGAGTCGTGAAGAAAATATATAACGCATGATTATCCTCTCGAATTGCGTAATTAATTTCGCATTCGTGAAAAAAAGTCATGAAGAAAATACATTGCAGATTAATGTATCCGTTACTCGGGATTGATATTAACTATTCACTTATCAATTGTCCCTTCAAGGGTAGGGGATATGTGCATTTGAAATACTTGCGGTGAAAGAAAGAGGGAAATGGGTAGGTAGGTATGAGCTAAACCTTAACCAAACCACCATTGATCTCCAACTATAAAACACCACCTACCCCCAATCTTCTATCTAAGCTTAACGTTCCCTTCTCTCAGAGAACCTCAAGCTAAGCTTCAATTCACCATTTCTCTCCCTTCAACCAACAATGCAATCCATCGCTCCATCTTCGAGTATCAGCCTCGGTTCCTTAACCCGGCCGGTTCGTGCCCATCTGATTTGCCCCAACCGGTTCGTCGTCGAGTGTGGGTTCAACGCTGCTAACGCGAGTGGGGCGTCGGGTAACGCTAATTTCTCCGGCGTTATCGGCGCTGCCAGGGCTGATTGGCAGAGCTCCTGCGCGATTTTAGCCAGTAAAGTTGAATCACAGCAGCAGGAGATTGGCGGCGACGGCGGCGGCGGCGGGATTGCGGCCGTGAATGGTCATAAGAGATTGGATCTAGTTCCGATTGATACCAGCCTTCCGAATCCCCTGTCTATTACAGACTTCTCGCCGGCGCCGTTGCACGGCGCGAAGCTGCGTGTGGCGTATCAGGGCGTTCCCGGCGCTTACAGTGAAGCGGCGGCCGGAAAGGCGTATCCGAATTGCGAAGCCATTCCTTGCGATCAGTTTGAGGTGGCGTTTCAGTCGGTGGAGCTCTGGATTGCCGACCGCGCCGTCCTTCCGGTGGAGAACTCCCTCGGCGGCTCCATTCACCGCAACTACGACCTCCTCCTCCGCCACCGCCTCCACATCGTCGGCGAGGTCCAGCTCCCCGTCCACCACTGCCTCCTCGCGCTCCCCGGCGTCCGCAAGAATTACCTCACGCGCGTCATAAGCCACCCGCAAGCACTCGCCCAGTGCGAGCTCACGCTCACCAAACTCGGCCTCGCCGTCGCGCGCGAAGCCGTGGACGACACCGCCGGCGCCGCGGAGTACATCGCCGCCAACAACCTCCGCGATACCGCCGCCATCGCCTCCGTACGCGCCGCCGAACTTTACGGGCTCAACGTCCTGGAAGCGGGAATCCAGGACGACTCCAGCAACGTGACCCGGTTCGTCATGCTCG